GGTGTTATAGCTAATAATCGTAAATCTAACATAAAAAACGCATATATATTTAATGTGATGGTTTGTGAATTTTAAAGTATGATATCTAATATAAAAACGATAATACTTAAAAAAATTACACCAATCAACTTTTTCTGATTAAAGATTAATTATCTTATGTGTACATTTTTATAATTATAATTTTTTTTACATATTCAAAATAAATAGTTCTAAAGTATTATAAAGAAGATTTAAATATATAGGAAATATTTAATAATATATAACTATATAACTATTTACCTTTTAATAAATGCAATTTACACATCTAAAAATGAAATATTATTGTCGGATATAAGATAATTACAATTAAAACTTTATTGACTTTTGAGGCCAAATTGTTTTGTATTATTATACTTGGTAGACAAATTATTAGAACGTTAAAAATATTATCAAACATATTACTCAAACAGTCGATATAGTGCACTATTTAATAGAATAGCTTTTGCAATAATAACTCAGATATAATTTTAGTAGCTAATGAACAATACGGACAATAGAGTTTTTCTTGAAAGGAGTTTTGATTTTAGCGCAGTAGATTAAATATGCTTTATGAATAGTTTGTCTTCATCTAAATGGAAAGAAACTTTTTTTTTTTTTACTTCTATATTTATATTATATATAATAAAACAAAATTGGTTATAATATTATTATTACCAAAAAATATTGCCTATGTCAGCTAGTAACATAAATAATAGCTTAAACATTACCAAATAGGCTAAACAAAGACTGAGTAAGCTATACTGCCTAATATACATATTTTATATAATTTTACAGTACTAGTTTATTAACCTAACCTTACCAAGTTGTCTTAATAAACAATTTAATTTTTTTTTATATGTGTTATTTATTTTTTATTAAATGTTTTTTCAGAAAAACCTGCGCGTTTCTCTTTGAAATACTTTTATTTATTCTATTAAGATAATAAAATTGTACCATAACTAAGCTAAACTTTTTTAGCATAATATTCTTAGACAGGTTTCATGGATGCTTGGCTTACTTTTTAGCAAATTTTTGACTGCTGATTATATAAAGGCTAATTAATTAATATAAATAATATATAAATATACACTAATAATAAACGTACTAAATATAATAACCTTATTTATTTACCAAATCCAAATCACAAAATTTTTTTTGTTAATTATTATATTAAAATATTGCAATAAAACATTGTTGTGTTCATAGTATATTATATGAATTAGCACTGTGCAGTTTAAGTTTTTTTTTATGACTTGTTGTTTATTTAATTTAAGTAAAATATATTTGTAAGTTTAATTAGTAAAAAAGAGTGAGAAAAAGTATTTCTTAATTCTATATAATTCTTATTTTGTATTGGATTCTTCTGGATTTATCTAATTAACTTTTATTCTGTTTATATAACGTAAACAAAAATTTATTAGTTTAAATTATATACTATTATATTTTTAAAAAAATATAGTGGTTTGGCCGAGTGGTTAAGGCGGTGGACTTAAGTTCCATTCGACAGAGTCGATCGTGGGTTCAAACCCCACAGCCACTATTAATTTTACACCTTTTATGCACATGCTGTTAAATATCGTTATTTTAATCAGTTCTAATTTTGTAAATAAAAGAATTTTTTTACGCAAATTGACTGATTATGGAGAAAAAATTATCAATAAATTTAAAATTATAAAAAAACAAATCAAGCTATTAAAAATAAATTGGTTTAAAATGTTTATATCAGTATTTTATAATAATACACAAACTCTCTTCTCTGAGCTTTTATTTTTTAGAAACAGCCGATCACAAGCATTTACAAAAGATAAAACTTTTGCAATTATCTATACTAATAAAAGCT